GGGGGCGTGTTGAACATGTATGAGGAACCGAATCGTCAAACGAGGGCGGGTGTTCACGGTATGATGAACCGCATGTCCCCTTTGCAGATTGGGGGGGGGGCGGCGCCCCGCCCAACCCCCCCGCTTTCTTAAGCCCTGTGAACGTGCCTTAGTGAATGTCGTACCGTCAGGAGAGCTATTTCACCATTTGCGATTTCGAGTCAAGCAGATAACTCGCATGAGGCCTTGCAAAGCTTGTCGTGAAGACCCAACTCTTCCGCTTTCTCTTTGGAGCGCTCAAGATCGCTTTCATGACCATAGCGCCATCCAAAACGTAAAGCCACATAGCCGAGACGCCCAGAGCCTGAACTGGCACAGAAGGCAGCCGGTTACACTGGCAGGGCCGGCGGTCGGCCTGTCGGAGTTACAGACTGAGTGACCGACCAGTAGGCCGAAAACTTAAAAAAAACTTCATTAAAGGACCTCGAATACAGTTTCAGTTGTCGCCATCCCTGTGACTCTTGCAACTTTTCTAAATGGATCGAACCGAAAACCAAAAAATACACAAAAAGAACCAAAAACAATACCAAGAAAAAACCTGGACCCTGAATCTTGCGAAGATGCCTGCTTGGAGTCCGATCGGATCTTGCCAGAGTTGATTGTTTCGTAAAGCAGCCGCAGCCAACTCCGTCGTGCAGGTGCAACAACGTCCTCAAGTCATTGACGATTTCTTCCGCAACTTCTTGCTGAAGTCTATGCCTCTGCTGTGTAGTAGCTCCCACCCCTCAGCAGCTGCGCAGTTCAACAGCGCATGACACCAGGTACGAGATGAAGCGCTCCCTAGAGGTCTTCCAAGCCGAGTGGTACGAGATGCAGCAGACGGGAAAATTTAAGGACAGCCTGCGTGCGCCGTCTAGAGTTCTTGTTTCTCCATTTGTGTTTTCTACCTGAAGGATTCGGAGCTGACCATTGTTCCGGATGTCTACACACGCAACCACGGTTTCCAACAGGAGGCTCCCACAAGTGGACAAGAGCTTGGCCGTGCTTCGCTGCCTGAAGTCAAGAGCTGTTGAGAGACGACGGCTGCTTCGGACGTATGTGCCTTGAAGTTGGCACCACAGGCTGACTCCTACAGAGTCAGCGGACCAACGTTCATGCATGAGTTTGGGTGCACCTATCGTAGTCTTTTGCGGCAACCGTAAGTTCTGCCCAATCATACGCTGATTTCTGCCGCTGCATCTTTCGTGTCTCCTCTTCTTACTTCGACAGCAATTGTTGCTGCTATTGTTATTGTTACTATTTTAAACGCTGTTCTTGGTGTATCTACCAGACATTATTCTATTCTGGATACTCAAAATTAAGCTCTAATCTGAGTATTCGTTTTCGTGTTACACTGCCACTGCCACTGCCACTGCCACAACAACAACTACTACTGCTGCTGCTACTACTACTACTACTACTACTACGACGACCACCATTACGACGACGACGACGACGACGACGACGACTACTACTACTACTACTACGACTACGACTACGACTACGACTACGACTACAACTACTGTTGCTACAACAACAACTACTACTACGACTAACACCACCACCACCGCCACCACTACTACTGCTGCTGCTGCTACTACTACTGCAAGTGCGACGATGTTGACGGTCAGAGAAGGCGAAGCCAGACGCAGTCGAAGTGGCGTAAGAAGACGAAGCGCACGACGAATGATAACGAGAAGAACTTGTATAATTAAAGTAACAGCATGAATCACAAGAACAACATAGAACAACACGAGGACGACGAACACATCGAGGACGATAGCACTGAGGAGGACGCCGGCGGCGCGGACGACGATGGCGATGTCGACGACGGCAACGACTGCGACGGCGATGGCGACGACGAGATGACCACTGCCCAAGACCAGACAAAATGAGTTGAAGTTTAAATATGCTTATGATGAATTCAGCTGGTGGGGTGCTTCATTACAAGCAAACCATTCAAAACGCACGTCCGACAACAACATGATCGCAGCCCCTCAGCGTTTCGGCAGGAAGCAGGTACCATGCCAAAGCATTTGCCTACAACAGGTGTTGTTACTTCGCGAAGAGCTGGAAAAGGCCCGCATGGTGGCTGCGAAGGCACGCTGCCGACAGTGTTCAAGTCAGTACTATCAATGTAACTGTTCGCGAAGTGGATATGACAAGCTGTTCGAATGTGTAGATTATTGCCAGGCCAAGGAATCCTGGGACAAGTTTCGCAAAGAGCGAGATTACCATCGCATGCATCATCGGCGGGTCGGTTTCTGTGGTGAGTGAATTTGGGGCAGATCGGGGGACATGGGGGTCCCCTGCCCCGGAAACATGACAGCACTGTCAGGTCGTACAGGAGAAGAACAAGCTCATAGTTGTCGCCCGGCCTGCTGTTATGTATGGACTGACCCTGTGTGTGGCTTTCGCTGTTGATGTTCAGAGACGGCCTAGGATCTCAAGCGCTTGAAGAAGCACTACGAACAGTACGAGCCTACGCTGACCGAGTTGCGGCACAAGTATGAAGTCGCAATGAAGGAGTTGTTTTGACTCTGTAGCACGTCCTGGCGCAATGCAGTGACATGCAAAACACTTGTGGGTTGTCAACAAGGGGCTTTCCGGTGCGACAGGAGAAGATGCTCATGCGCCTAGAGCGTGACCGCTACGCAGCAAAGGTGCGCAGTTTGGTCATGAAGTTGTAGCCTGCATCACGAGCACGACGAGTGTCAGCTACTCTGCCAGGAGCAGAGGACACATAACGATCGACTTGGCTGTATGTTCGCGAGTCATCATGTGGAATAACGACCTGGAATAGGTAAAACTGGGCATGTGTGTGAGGAGTAGGGAGTAGTGGCAAGGAGCTCGCAGGAGCAGTCAAGCACGTGGATGTTGGCATAGGTCAAGCTAGCCGCAGCTAGCCGACTGCCAGCGGCAGCGCAAACGCATTTTTTCTATGTTAGGTAGACAGATTGATTTGGTCAACAAGCATAAACCTTTGGGTTGGGCCGGCGAATGGGACGCAAGTTTGGTCACTTAAGGCATTGAAGCGTAAACTGAATGCAGGTTTGCAGTTTTCGAACTGCACCACCACCACGAGCTGCCCCCGAAATGTTCCGTGGTGTTGCGTGCATCTGGGGCAGCAGTGGCTGCCCGGGTGGGCGGCGGGTTATCTCCTGCACCAGTGATTCGTCAAAGGGTGCCATCGCTGCAGTCGGTTGTCTTGGGACGGCTTGGAAGACTTCCTTGCTCCCGTTGATGTTGGAAATCTGGTGACGCATCGGAATTCGGGCTCCTCGGATTCGGATGTGCTATTCGGTGCAAGCCTCCGAACTACAACTTCCAAGCAGCCAGTCGCTGAAAGCAGTACACTAGGCAAAAGGCTTTTTGGGGCTGCTAGGGCTGCCAGACTCTGCCTGTCTGGTAGGCAGAGTCTTTGCAGAAGCAGCTCTCGCAGGCTCTCGGTCTGCTCCTCTGTAGTGTGCTGTGCTGACAGCGAGTGCAGGCTGAAGCCAAAGACGAGACTGCCAATAGCAAGGCCGGTGTGCATGTATGTGAATGTATTCAGCAAACTCTGCTTTGTTCGCAAAGTAAGACTGCAAGGGGCGCGAGTGCCAAAAGACTGCAACTAACAGTTGTCTTGGAAAGCATGCCCTGGTAAGGCATCTCTCCTTTCCCGCATGCTTTTCCAAATATCGTGTTTGAACATGAGGCGATTCTAGGCATTTAGTTGCAGAGCCTCGTTTTTTGGAAACATGAGTTTAAGCCAGAGGCAGCTGATTTGGCATTTTGATTTAGACACGGTGCATTTGTCAATCAGCACGTGTTGGCATGTGTGTATTGCATGTTGCTCCGGGTTCTGTGGTTCGTGCATATCCCGGAGGCATCACCGTGGCGGTTGGCTTTGGGCGGGGTTTCTGTCTGCGGGCATGGGATCCTTCGTGCGGATGGGGGTGTCAGCATTGGAGGCTCCGTCAGCGGTGGATACATCGCTTCGATCCTTGAAGACATCCGCTTGCTTCCATGTGATCATGAACGCCCTCGTCCAAGGTGGGTGTTGGTCACGGCTTTGGCCTTCGCCTGTTCAGTCCGAGAATCTACTGTCATGTGACCTGCTTGTGGGGGGGATGGAGTTTTGCCTTTCCCTGTTATCCGGGAGGTGACTGACTGAGTGTTTGGGAGAGCAAGGGGCCGCACGGGTCGCGTTATGCACCTAGTATCTGTTGAGGGATGTGCAGAGGCGACGTTGCTCATTTGGCTTAGTTCCCTGATGGGTGACTGTCGGGGAAGAGCCCTTGTCGCAAGAGCTTCCGCGAGGACTCACGCACTCACGCGCTCACGCGCTCATGCGCTCACGCACCCACGCACTCATGCACGCACGCACTCACGCACTCACGCACTCACGTACTCACGCACTCACGCCCTGACGCACACACGCACGCACGCACGCACTCACGTACTCATGCACTCACGCACTCACGGACGCACGCACGCACTCACTCACTCACTCGACCATGAAGCTTTTCGTGTCACTGGGCAGTCGGGTGTGAGCAGCATCCAGCTGAGCACAGTATTGGTCGCTACTGAGCACCCAGTCTGGCAGGACCTCACTGAAGGTGACGATGCGCACAATAGAAAGAAAACGCTACGAGAAGCACCTTGGCCGAGCGAAGACAGGCCATTGTGAGCAAGTCTGGTACTTGTTAGTCAGCTGCTTACTTGAGTTGCAGGACCAACCCCTACACCAATTCAAACTTCGAGGCGGTGCGGGTGGCCGAGTTCGCAAGGCCTGGATAGCTGTGAGTGTGGATTGTGACTCCGCTAAACATGTCTTGCTGCCAGAGGACGCAAGTCTTCAAAGGCCACTTGGGAGTTCGAGCCCTGGTGTGCATGGACGTTTCGCCTGTTGGGCTCATGGCCTCGTTGCCGAGGCGGTGTCACGCGTCGCATTCCATCCGAAGATCCCGGTGGTAGCAACGGCGTGTGATGATCATACGTGGAAAATGTGGTCTGTGCCAGAAGGCGAGGCATGCGCAAAGACGGCATTGTGTAGCATTGTGAGAGATTCCTTCGACTCGCAGGTCAACTTGTCCTAAGTGGTGAGGGGCACAGGCGAGGTAGCGAGTCCAGTCAGTGGCAGTGGATGTATCGAAAATGTGTGGCAGGGATTGGGTCAGTGGCATCTCCTTTCATCCACGTGGCTCTCTGGTGCATGCCTTACGGAATAGCTGAATGGAATACTGAAACCACGGAGTGCCTTCACCACTCTTGAGCCACATGTATTCCGTAAGATCGACGGTGCTTTGTCGGCGCGCAACACCTTCATTCAGTAGCCCGGTTCCCTCATTGCGGGCCGCGGAAGTTGGAAGTCACTGTTGGCCTTGTTTGTCCTGGCTCCTCCACGATATCCCGAGTTCGAGCATCACCAGCGACATTAGGCATGGGCCGGAAATATGACATCAGCAGAACCGCGAAACGGAGATGCAAGTCCAAGCGCAATGCACAAGCAAGGTATCGACATAGTGTTACCTGAGGTCATATACGGGCCTCAACTGTTTGCATTTCGTTACCGTTTCCATTGCTCCTGGTGCTCGCCGCACAGTGGAAGAATGTATGGCCTGCCGGTCTGTCTGTATCAGCAATATGAAGTACGGTTTGTGAACAGTGCTCCTTGCGATTTGTGTTGCGATAGGAGCGCGTATAAATTGGGTGTTATCTTGGCTACTGCCAATACGACTTTAACTTTACTCCATGTGGCATGGACTTGGTATTCAGCGAGAACGTCGGAGTTTGCGACTCTCGTCGACTCTGTGATTCCAAGGCGTCCAACTGTGCAGGGGGTGCATATGTACGCCGGATAATCTCCCGGACAGTTCGGTGGCATCTTTGAGGGCCATGTGATCAGTATGGCATCCTAGATTTTTTCGCATCTGAGCGCGTCTTTCGCAGGCCCTTGAGTGTCAGTGGGAGGGATAAAGAAGAGCTCGCGGCCTGTGCCACCTACTGAAGCCTAAAGCTGGTCAGCAGCTGGTCTGGAGTAGCGACCCACGGACTGGCAGGAATCCCCGGTAGTTAGTAGCGGTCCAGGATCAACATGTGCCATGCAGCGGAGGGGGCCAGACTAGAGTGACTAGAACGCTGAAGCCTTAGGCTTTCAAGCGGGAACAGCCTCACGCAAACTAGCTGCAAGTTGCTGCAAATTTTCATCACCGTCACTCAGCTAAGCATCGGGATTCTCTGCAAAGCTGTGCGATTGCAGCTCAAGGTCGCGACATCTTCTGGGGACTCGACCGTCAAGATTTGGGATGTTGCGAAAGAGAAGTGCAAGCACACGCTGACCGATCACACCCAGTGCGCCTCTCGAACCAGTTGTGCACCTGCAGCAACTTGAAGCGGAATCTGACTCCAGGCCTGTTTGGGCTTGCTCCTTTCACGACATGGGGGACTTTGTAGTCTCCTGCTCTATGGCCATACGCCCAGCTTAGACTCCAGATGTTCCATGATATGTTCATGATGGTGTCAGTTGCACTGAGGACCAGACGGTGAAGGCATTCGACATGATGAGCATGCGGTGCCGGCAAACATTCCGTGGTCATGTAGACTCAGTCAACTTCGTGACTTTCCAGCCTTTCTCCAACAATGTGCTTACAGCAGCCGGTGACAAGACGATTTCACTGTGGGATCTCCGCAGCGGCCTTTGTGTGCAGACGTTCTATGGTCATGCAAATGCTTGCAACCATGCCATGTTCAACCTCAAGGGTGACACAGTGGCCTCATGTGATGCAGACGGAATTGTGAAGATGTGGGACGTGAGGGTGGTGTCCGAGTTCCTTCAGATTGACACGGGACGCCACCCTGCCAACGCTGCGAATTTCGATCGAAGTGGAAAGGTCTTGGCCATTGCGCCGCAGCCTTGGGCCCTCCATGTAAACTGCCTTGTGTCATCGTTGCAAGTTCCATTCCGAAGCCGGTGTGTGGAGGTCCGGCGATGCTTCTATCAAGACTTTCAACATCGAGGATAAAGTCTTCGTGGCCAACCTGGAGGGACATGAAGATTCCGTTCAGGCCGCGAAGTTGAGTGCAGAGTGGGCTTGAGTTATGTTGGGTGGCCAAGCATGGCATGGAATTGGAAAAAGGAGGCTAGAAGCTTATGTGTCCGTGCGTGTTACTGCATGCGAGTTCTCCCTGAAGGACGTGGTGTTCGAGCCGCAAGCAAACAAGTTCCTCATCAGCGCATCCTCCGATGCCACATTTTCTCTGTGGCAATGACCTGCATGCTCTAAAGTTGCTCGCATACTGTTCTCTCAAGCTGCGCAAATATGAGCACAAGCGACCCGTACGTACGCAGGACACTTGCCATGTCAACAGGTTTTGTGGAAACAACCGGAGCAACCCTGTTTCACTCGAATCTCGGTGCACTGTTCTTGGCCTTCGTGTAGCTGTCGAGGCAAACTACGCACTCGACGCTATGTGCAATTTACAGAAAAGAAGATTCTTGGAGCTTTGCCAGGCCCACCTTCTTATCTGCGTTGCTTATAATCATCAGAACCACAGTAACTAATAACTAATGTGAGAGGGAAAAAGTAAGTAATGACCCAGAGCTTGCTTGCGTCTCGTATCGCATGTACGCTTTGGGAGATTCTTTACCGAGCATGAGCAGAAGCTGGAATCTAGCCTCATCCCGTGGCTTGCCACCCCCCCGCCACGACGACAGAAGAAGCAGGTGTCATTGGGCTTTTGGTAAAGAGAGGCTTGGTCTGCAGAGGGTATCAGCATACCAATATCCAACCCCGGAGGTCATTTCGCTTTTGTGCATATGTGTGTGCACATACGGAAGCATGCGGAGACTTGTTCTTGGCACTGTATGCTCAAGTTGTCACCAAGCATGATTACTCCGCTTGTGCTTGTTGGGCGAGAGGAGTGGCCGCCCGCCCCAGCCGCCCCCCCTACCCGCACCCGCGATGTCTTCCGAACTGGTCGACGCATGATGTTGACAAGGTTAGCATGATATCTGTTTAGGCAGCGGGGAGATGTGCTACCCATGTTCTTCATGACGTAGATGGGCTGGTAGTAAAGACAAGCAGAAAATCTCAATCACTCCGAGAGAACACAAGTCAACCGCGACATGGTCTCTTGGGACAGCAGGAACTTCCATTGAATAGTTCCAGCACTGATTTCTTTAGTCACCACGGCATGAACAAATCTCGGTATATTCCGCAGGCTCTTCGTTTCTTGTTCTTTCCACTGCTTAAACTTCATTATGTGCTTCGAATGACACTGACTGTAGCAGTGGATTTTGTAGATTTGTAATTTCTATTTGTTCTTGTGCCTGCCTCTTGCATTGCACTATTTCCATCGTACACAGTGCGCCGACCTGATTCTCGTTCACAGCTGTGTGCCTGCTGAACGTACGGTGCAGTCCTTATGACATGTTTTGTTAAGTCTTTCTCGGATGCTCCCGGTCCCTGCTTCACTTCCCTGCACTGCATGTCATGTTCTTGCTGCAGAAATTTCTGCTGGTTGCTAAGTTGCCATGAGCATATTTGGTGAGTTTGGTGGCGATGCAGTGGTGCATATTGGCTCACCTTGCACCCTCACGCGCGACATCAAACAGGAAGATGCAGGCCCCCCAGCAATTGAAGATTCGCAGACCCCTGTTCAGACGAGTTCATCGTCCAGTGTATAAGACAAATGACCGAGGGCGCTCTCTCTGCGCGTACTCGGGAGCGCAGCAGCTGTGGAAACCTAAGCTGTGTAGTTCATTTAGATGAAATACAATCGCATTGTGACATTGCGTGGTCCGGTGCAGGTAATGGGTCAGAGAACTCCAAAGAGCAAAGACGGGAGGATGCCTCAGATGACCAAATGACAGTAGCGAGTTGTATGGATGTCGATGTCTCGACTGGAGCAAGGTCAAACAATCACAATCCGTTTATGATGGAGCATCCTCACGGCGCGATGTCGCTCGGGCCTTGTCACTTCGCGCAAACCTGCCATTGTTAAGCAAATTCCAGAGTCTTGCGCCTTCGGAGGGCTCTACTTGAGTTGGTTCAGGGTTCAACCCTTTTGAATTGATTCTTGCAGCAGGAGCTTTCGTCTGAGGCTTGTACGAGGGGGCATGGTGGTGGGGACGGCTTCCGTGGGGAGGCTTATCATGCCTTTGGAAGCTGGAAGAATTGGCACCTGTCTCTGACCAGTTCGTGATGCATCTGTCCTTCACGTGTCGAAAAAGCCGATCAGTCTGTTTACACTTTTCGTCCGCTTCAGCACTTGGCCTGCGTGGCTTCCGAAATGCACCCTTTGTCTTTAGCTGCGGTTCTTTCGTCCCTCCAGTATCCATCATTCTCCAGGCATCTGCAGGCTGATCGTGAGCTCCGTAGGTTCGTCGGACTGTTGCGTGCAGGGATGGATGGATGGATGGATGATGGTTGAATGATGGGTACGTTATAGACGAATGATGGATGATGGATGGATGGACGGAGAAGGGATGGACGGATGAAGATGGATGCATATATGCTTAAAGGCAGAGCACCCGGCAGATTCAAAAACGCAGCTTTTGCCTTTTGCCCATGCCTCCCATGCCTTCTGCCTTATACTCTTCGACACAAGCGGTGTTTCGTCGGAGTGTTCGTTGTTTGGAATCACTCTGAAAAGCAGAGACGCGCCTTGGTTCTGCGTGGCTGTCGTTGCTGAAAACGACCCTCATGATTGCAAAAGCCATGAGTTGATACTGCTGATGGTCTGCACCTTACGATCCTCGCACGCTGCAGATATGAATTACTTGTTGGATGCGGTGCGTGAGGGCTTCGTGTTCGCTGTTCCCGTGGTCAGGTTCTGATGCCGGTGCTTCACCTGTCTCTGACAATCCATTTGTTGATGATGACTTCGTTATAACGATTGAAACTTTGTCGCGGGAATGGACATCGGCAGTCGCGGGTATCGGGCCGGAAATGAAATGAGTATGTGAACACCGCGGTGTCGACTGATCTGCCGAGCTCATCAGGCCACATATGCGTGTGTATAGTGTTTGGGCCACTGCCACTTTTCGGAAACGAATTCGGTGGTGCGACATGCGTAGCTGCCTAGAGATGCCTAGAGGCAGTGCACCGGGCAAGTCCCGTCCAACGGAGCCCGAAGCAAAAAGAGACGGGTTGCTCGTTTCGCAAGGCCGAAGACACCGAAGACACCGAAGACCCCGAAGACTCCAACGACTCCAAAAACATCCCTGGTCTTCAACCCAGAGGCAGGCGCCGAACAGATTCGTTTTTCTTGTCTGCCCGGAGTGCAGAAGTGACAGTGGTGCTCTGGCTGAGTCCGACTCCTCGTGCCAAGGACCGCTTCGATTTCAAGTCTTCGCACTCCACGCCCGTCTCCCAGCGACAGATCGCCAGATGCTGCAGCAGCATCTTGGAGACTTGGCATTTTGCAGGCCGCCGTCGAAGGAAAAGGAGATTGACAGACGTACCGTCGCAACTGAGAGGTGCCCTACTTCATGAGTTCACAGAAGCGAGCGGTCAAAGCTGCTGCAACGTAGTGTTGGAAAGGCTGCACAAAAGTGCAGCTGGCTCCAAAAAGCAGAGCCGCATGAGGCCAACGCTCCTCGGTCGAGCCGTCGCGCCGCGTCCAGCCGCAAGGGCCCTGGAACTGGAAAGAGTTCTGTCACTAAGTTCTACATGTCGCTATGTAATGGCGGCAAGAGTCTCGCTTACTTGCACTCGATCGCCATCTCGGAAGAGTGTGCAGCACAGGAAGAGTTCTTCAACAAACGCCGTTGCACGCTATGCCTTTCTTGTGCCAGTCCTCTCCGACCTCCAGTCCGCCTTCCAATGCTGCGTGTGGGCCTGATGCCAACTCTACTAAGTGGCTGCTGGCAAAGTTCAGAAAGTGCGGTGGAAGTATGAAGGTTCAAAACTTATCTTCAGGCGGAGAGTCTGCTTCGAGCAGGACAGCGAATTGCTCTCAGTCGTATCCCGCGAGGCCGGCAAAGCGGACATTTGCGAGCTGCATCGTGTACCTATTCCGTCCAGTGTGTCTGCGGCCTTTAGCAGACCACATCTGCTTCCTGAGGCGCACCTCACCAGACAACGACGCATCAAAGATCGGCCCGGGCCTTCCTTGACCCGTGATTTCAGTTCGTAGACCGTCCGACGCGGGGCGCGATCTTCCAGACTGTCGCCTGAGGTTTGGTGTCTTTCGTGTGTGATATAAGGATATAGTGAAGCCGTTTCACGCGGGCCTACACGGAAAGTCCTGCCGCAGTCTACCAGACATTGGCGGCAAATCCCATGCAGAGAATCAGGCTATTCCCAAGTGCTTGACTTGTTCTTCCGAGCTTCAACTGCCGTGAATATGATACGCTGCAAGAGTCTTGAGCACCGCATAGCCGCATAGCATGATGTAGTACATTTAGGTCGGTCGCCGCAGCTACAGCACGTTTATTTCCTTCACTGTGTTTTGGTCTTGCAAATCGCTGGGAATGGCTCTCCCTTCTCTCTTCCTCGACTTGGACACAAGGCCGGTCTCTTACGCTAAGAATTTGATGGCCCGTTTGCCGGCTGCATGAATGTTTGCCTCACACTGAAAGTGCGATGGCAGACACTGTTTTTCGAAGTGCATCTGAAGATGGCATGCAGATCAACTTTGTCAGTTTTCGGCATGCGCAGTTGCAGCTGCAATCAAGTGCTGGCTTGCAACTGCTGCTGCTGCGGCACAAGGCCGCGACGGGCATGGATTTAGCACAACCCTCTCGGCACCGTATGTAGACAGAAGATGTAGGCTAGAAGCGACACCCTAGGAGCCCTAGGATGTTGATACTGACTAGTCCTAGCTACAGCAGATTTCCCTGCTACAAAATATTTTGACAACAGGCCGCGGGGACTTTTGATGATGCGGTGAGGATTCTGCGTGGGCGAAAAGCATGGTGCCCGGACTTGCGAAGGGAATCTGTTTGCACGGGTTAGTTGAATTCTTCGCACATGTGTTCTTCATTAAACTTCCAAGGGCTACTTGTGGAAGTTTTGTTGACGGGAGAAGCTTACTGGTCCATGTGAGCAGCACAGACCGCGTGTTGCCTCCCCCAGCTGGGCTCCATTCGACATGCGGCGAATCGCTCAGCTACTATGCCCATCGACGGTGATAGTCGCGTTCTTCTGGGTAAGATGGCAGCGATCAGCCAATCCACAGGAATGTGAAGACATTGGGCACAAGCTGTCCCCATTCCTGATGTCAGCGTTGTATCGGCCATTCCGAGCAGCTGAAGTCGATGCTGCTAGATGGGAGGCTGGGCTGGGCCAAGCGACCCGGCAGCAGCAGCCGGTGGCGATATGGTTGGTGGGACCGTCTGCTGCTGGCAAGTCTTACCTAACGCATGACGTGGCAAAAGGCTTTGGCATAACAGTTCTGCCCACTGACAAGCCGAATGCTGTGCTTTTGGACGGTAGTTCGTTTCGCAACTGGCACAGTGGCTATCAGGCCGTGATACAAGAGGGGCGCAGACTGCATTGTGTCTGGCGTGCGGCATATCCAGCGATGCGATCTAGGCTACTGCACGAAAAATCTCGGTTCGTGCGTCGAGCCAACAGAGAGAGGCTCAATGTCATCATTCCACATACCTGCGACTACTTGTCTGAATGTGCGCCTTTGCTGTACTTCTTGCACAGACGAGGATACACGAATCATGTGGTCATGGTACTGGGGGACCGGGAGATCATCCGGAAACGAGGTCTGCGGCGTGCTCGCGCAACTGGAAAAAGATATGCAGCTGAGGAGTGGAACGAATCAGTCTCCAACGGATTGCAAATGATAGCTCTTGCTACAGGGCATGCCGAACTTGTCTGGACAACACCTAATACCCGGTGGATTGTGAGGAAGGGACAGCCCCAAGACGTTTTCAGAGCAGCTGCCACCTTTGGGATTCCTGAACCGCTCAGCCAGCGCATAGTAAAGTTGCATGCTCGCAGGGCAGCGTGAATGTGGGACTGGAGTGTGTGAGAGCCCTTTGCCCGTCTCTCTTTGGAAGAATCTGGTATGTGGCATTCCATGTTGTTTGCGGGCATACGTGCTGCAGCCGAGGATGTGCAGATCTTAAAACTGGAGCCGATGCATCATGTTGGACACTGTAGAAGTCTAGCATTTACACCACCACGCAACACAGAAGCACCCGCATCTGCAACGGCCACCTGCCACGCCTTCAAACGATCACTCCCAAGCCAGACTCAGAGGTTTTCATGTTTGCAGTGTGAGCCCATGCGTTTGAAAACGCTCTCGCGTCTGCGAGACCATGGGCCAGAAAGGTCGAGGAAAGGGCAGCGGATGGTGGGACGCTTCGGCTTCGTGGGCTGCCTGGGAGACCCTTGGACGGCTTAAGACGCTCTGAGGGTAACCAACGGAAGCATACTTGTCTTCAGTTCAAGCGCAATAAGGTATTCAGGATGGCAGTCATGGAATTGGCAAGACAACAGGGACAGCACCAGCAGCAAAGGAAATGCCAGGAAGGGCCGCATGGGCAAAAGCCACAGCGAAGGCTCTGACAGCTCCAGAGGAGTGGCTGACTCAAGTGGCAAGGGCAATGGCCTTCAGCAACTTCGGCGAGAGGAGGCTGAGAAGGCGCACCGACAGGCACAGGGTGCTTCAGAAACAGTAGATAAGCAAGCCGCTGGTGACCAAGAAGAAAAAGACCTTCGCGACCTGGCTTCTGGCAAACAGGATGAACTGGGTGGGCCTCAGGATGATGAGCACCTCAACGATGCGGCAGAGGAGGAGGATGAGGAGGAACTGCCTTCCGAGCACGATGTAGAGCCCAACGCTGAGGATGTGGATGCCGAAGAGGAGGAGGAGGAGCAGGAGTGCTGATCACATGAATTGGCTCATGTCTGTTTTGCCTCTGCATAGCTTGCCTACTGGCTGCACGGCAGTCATTGTGCGTCAATTGTGCGTAGGGCATGGGACCTGTATTTAAGGCTTAGGGCTCAAGCTCGGAAAATAAAGTGCTGGAGGAGTTGCAGGAAGATGGTGAAGAGGAGTTGCAGGAAGATGGTGAAGAGGAGTTGCAGGAGGAAGAGGAGGAGGAGGAGGAGGAAGTAGAAGAACAGGAACACGAGGACGAGCAGGAAGAGGAAGAGGAAGAGGAGGAGGATGAGGAGGAGAAGGAGGAGGAGGAGCAGGAGGAGGAGGAGGAAGAAGAAGACCTCGAGGAAGAAGAGGAAGTGGAGGAGTCAGAGTTTGTAAGCCCCCCCAAAGGGAAAGGAAAAGACAGAAGCAAAGGTAAAGATCTGGGGAAAGGCAAGAAAGGCAAGACCTCTAAGGGAGCCCTCGAGGAAAGTGATGAAGACGAGACCGATGAAGAAATTCCCGCCAAAGGCAGCAAGGGCAGCACGAAAGGCAAAGTGAAAGGCAAAGGCAAAGATCCAGGAAAAGGAGCAGGCGACCTTCCGGACCTGTGCAAATGTGTTAACGCATGCCAGCACGTCACACATGATCGGAGCATCATCAGTTCCGCCTGGTTTTGTGCGACGCCATTCGCCGCGTTCAGTTCTTCGATCCTCGAAGGCGATATTTGCGTGAATATACTATACGATCTGGACCGTCGGAGGTTTTACTGTTGACGCTAGGAATAGCCTCAGTTCACTTGCTTCAATCATAAATTATCGATTTGATATGAGTCGTGCGTTGGTTGACGGCCGGCAGAACCAATGGAAAGCCAAGCCACACCAACAATAGCCAGCTGACGCTGTGAGAAGAACTTAAGACTCCCCCCTCCCAACCTTTAGGAGGCACCGTTTCCTGAAGGCTTCGGGCTGCCCACCCAAATAAGGAGAAGACAGGCTACCAGAGTGCGCATGGGGGCCGAGTGGATGGCTTTTGGGCGGTGACAGTGGTTATGCTTTCTGCGACGGGTAAAATACCACGTCGCAGTAGAGCGTGCTACCCGAGGATCGAGCCGCGTGGAGGGTCGAGCCGCGCAGCGGACGTTGTTTCCTGAAAGCTGCCTGCCTTTGATTCCGGGAAGGTAAAAGTTTTAGTGATGATGCCGTCGACAGCGAGGAGGAGCCTGTCAGAGGCTCAGACCAAGAACTTTGCCAAAGTTACCCATTTCGATTCGCAGTGACGGAGCGGACCCACTGAGCAAGGAAGTCAGAACCAAGGGCAAGGGAAAGCGCAGCTTAGCGGCGACCATCCAGATTAAATTATGTTAAGCCGAAATCGGAATGCGCCCTGCAGTCAGCTTGGGGGTTCATTGGTTGTTTGGTCGTGTTTTGTTCGATAGGTTTTGTTCTCCTGCCGCCAACTTACCGTGTACTTCTCAGCCAGACTTGAGTGAAGTAGGAAGACGCCGAGCTTCGGCTTTGGTGTTGGTTGCGCTTGATATCAGACACGAGAAGCCGAGGAAAAGGCCAGAGAAAAGGGAAGCAGTGAGCGTTGCCATGTCTTGCCCGATCGAGAAAAGGATTGTTTGAAGACTTGGCAGGGTCTCGTAGATGCGATCACCATAGCACCTGCAGACTTGGAAGCTTGAGACGACTGAGTCGTATACGTTGCATGTGTGACAAATTGTCGGCTTGCAGTCCGCCATGTCAGCCTGTACCGCCCGAAGGCAGGCAGTCGGTTGCGGAGCGATCTTCGATTCTCTCCAGATTTGCGGACACAATCTTGCTTGAGATGAAGGGCGTATGTGCAGTATAGTACTGGTTTAAGCTCCAAGGTTCAACCGTTGGGTTCAACGATGTTCAACGAAAAAGCATAAGCCCTCCATGCTGTCCCAGTGTCGCGCGGTGTAGACAGCGCAAGAAGGGAGCCATTCAAGCCTTCTCTGCCTGCAGTGTTTCGACAATGCGCGACGGCTCAGGCAGAGTTACGGCCTGAAGTGTTGTTCGCCGAGACCTCTGTAGCGGCGCGAGTTGGCGGGGAGACAGAAAGCGGCACAAACAAATGGCATCGCGAAATCTTGTTAAGAAACCTTGTCCGGGGGCGTCCGAGTGTGAGAGCGTGAAGGCGTGAAGTCTAACCCGCTCTGCCAAGTTGTAAGAGCCGAAGGTCTTGCCCCGACTCCAGTTTCGGTCGTGTTCGAAGTTGCTGGCCTCCGAATGACCTCACTAATTTGCCGCTGGCCCTTTGTGCCTGATAAGTTTTCGCAGGTTTTGCTTCATTTCTGCACTACTTTGACTTGCTAGCTGCTAGAAGCGGGCGCCTGCAGGCGATGCCAAGACAAATGGCATGCCAGACATCCGAGAAGCCCAGGCAGGCAGCAGTTGAGCTTCGAGCTTGCATTTGTCGCCAAGCAGGCTATGGGTGGGGTTCGTGCTTCCGAACCCATGGTCAGACGTGCAAGTCTTGGATGAATTTGGTCGTGAGCTGCCGACACTAGAAACTTGCATTCCAAGGTCCTGAGAAGGAGGTCGAGAACAGCACCCTCGCAATGCTGCAGGCTTTGCGGACAGCGAAGAGTGTTCCTGGCAAGGACGGGCATGTCTATGGCTCTTTCAGTTTGCAAACAATTGTCACTCTGATCTCGGCAAGCGGCACATGAAGAAGCAAGAAAGAATGGGTTCTCACGAGCACATAGTTCTGGCCAGCAGCAGGTTTGGGATGGGGGGCACACGCTGGTAAAGCCTACTCGTATCTTGCCAGCTGGCTGCCTTGCCCCTCCGTTGGGCTTATTGCTTCACCTATATGAGTCGACAGACAGGCCGGCTGCTGCGTGTTTCGGTGCGTATGCGGATGATGCCCGAGTGATTTGTGAGCTACTGTCGATTCGCATAGTGTGCAGCACCACGGTAAGGAGCTGCTCATAACATAGGTCCAGCTTGGCACATCATTGAATCATGTGCCACCCCGTCTGGCATGCTGTGGAGAAACGGGACGCAACAGCAGCCGTTTGTTAGGTTACCCCATGCCCGTGGCCCAACGGGCGTCGTCGTGGCCCATGGCTGCAGCACATGCCGCTAACCACCTGGCTACCATTGGCTACCCAAGGCTGCCAAGAGGCTGGGGCGGAACGCGGCGTAAGCGTCGCGACGCCTACCCCGAGCTGTCGCGCTGTTCTGCCATGTTGTGGTTTTCGCTGTCGAAACTGGTGGCCGCTGAGGCTCCGAACCCGCAGCCTTCCCGCACGCTCCCATCTGCTCGGCTCTGCGTGTAGCCAGAGGGCCCTCGGCAGCTCAGTGCTCGAGCTCCCTCTCCACGCCGTCGCCTCTGCCGCCGGCGAGCCGGCTGTGCATGAGGTCGTGCAGGACGAGCGATGGCTACTCTCCCCGCTTCCAGCCGAATTTTGGCGAGAACTTTGGTATACTTTCGTCGCAAGCGCGACGTAGCTTGCAGGTGTACAGGGGCCGCGTGTGTACTGGTCGCAAAAAGTGTGCACGAAAAAGAAAAGTTATCCTTTCGTCATGTGCTCCTTCAATTACCTTTTGATCCTGCGCATCCCCGCTTGCGTACATGCCTGTCTAGTTCAGAACGGACCACTGGCATCATCCGCAACATCCTGGCAGAGCGACTTCACTCCACTTCAGGACGATATGCAAGATCACAGGATTTTTCAGGATCGTATCGTGTCCTCTTCTTGCCACACCACACCTTGCAGTAGTTTTTGTGAAATTTCATTCCGGAAGTCCTGCGGCGTTTCCACCCTATTCGCACGGTTTCCGCCTGCATGGCTCGTTGGGGCAGTGTGGTGTCCTGCGCAGCCGACATGCAGATGTCGACGTCCAGCTCCGATGTGAAACAACAACGTATTTTCCAGTGCTGGTTGCTACGCAAACGAAGTAAGGGAACATAAGGACTTGCTGGTTTGGCCATATCATTACGAAGCAGTAAGGTGAGAGAACCAATTTGGCAAAGACTGCCAATGACTGCAGTGATTGGCATGTGTTCGGACAGGTGGTGCCTCTGGGAAGGACCGTCTGCTAATGTAGTTAGTTCCTATCACGTTCGAAGGAACGCTACGAAACCGGGATTCCACAATCATGATTTAATTGTTTAATTTGGCGTCCTTCTCTTCAGAAGGCCTAAATAAGTAGATCGCTACAGTGACCGGGCGCAGGTTTGTTGGGTTTAGAGGGATTGCAAGCTCCGAACCTTCCATGTGGATCTTCTTAGAACTTCGGTTGTGTTGTTCGTCTCGCTGCATACCAGTAGAATCTGCTTTTAGAGTTGCGCCACTTCGCTAGCGGGATACCACATTGAATCATGATTTAACTGTTTTGTTTGGCGTCTGTCTCTTGGTAACCACCAGTAAAGTAGTTGGTTCCCATCACATTCGAAGGAAATTTGGCCTAAATAAGTAGATCGCCACAGTGACCGGTCGCAGGTTTATTGTGTTTAGAGGGATTGCAAGCTCCGAACCTTCCGTGTGGATCTACTAAGAACTTAGGTTGTGCTGTGGGTCTCGCTGCATACCAGTAGAATCTGCTTAGAGAGTTGTGCCAGTTCGCTAGCGGGATACCACATTGAATCATGACCTAATTGCGCAATGTGGTAGAGTAGTAAAATAGTAAAATCCTGGCTTAACCGGCCCAGGTCGGTTACCGAGATGCGAAATGTACTGGCGCAGGTCGGTTTCCGAGATGCAAACTGCAAAGTCGACAGCCCTACAGCACCTACTCCGGTTCAAGCCGTTATCCTGTACATATCCGTCCTTCAGGCCGAGAGCTGCAAGGTCAATTCCGTGGCCGCTAGAAGCGTCCTCAGAGCTTCTCCCCAGATGCCGCCAAGGGTCGTGGCAGCCGAGTGTCCGCCTTACTAACTGCCAGCGTCCCACTTCGTCAAGCACATCGGCGCCATCACCATGCTGGCCGCCGGGAGCTCGGAATGTGGAAACACCGCAGCCTTGGGGAAGACCTTTCGGCGTCACTTCCAGTGGAAGCACCCTCACTGTCATCCACCCTTCTGTCCCAGATTTCACGGTCTGAGAGGCAGGTGTCGTCTGCGACCTCGTGCTGCAGTAGCAATCCCTGGGCCTGAGCACGAGCCACAGCAACAAAGCTCGAATCCTCGTAAATACTGTGGTATGAGCATGTGGAATCGGTGAGGAAGGTTTCCCGAACCGTTGTTCGCCCAAGGGAGAGGTTGGTGTATCCTCGGGCCGCTCCAGGGACCGGCGCACTCGCCTTGGCTGTAGGCACCGCCTCCACAGATTCCGCAGAGGAGGACACTTCCAAGGTAGGCTGCGCGCCTCGTCGTGGCGTTCGATCTCGTCCATGCTGATGTGCCTCCATGTCTTGCAAAGCCTTGTTCTTGGCCGGCTGTAGGGCCTCCACCAGATTGTACGATGCCTGCTGCTGTTGCTTTCTTCGGCATCCGCTGCGTCCACCTCGTCGAGGTGTTTGGTTCCATGCATCTCGGGCGCGAACTTTGCATCTCGGAAACCCAATCTTGCATGTCGAACCACAGTCACGTGATCACAAGCATACGGACGCTGCTTCTCACTTTAAACCTTGAGCCTGAAACAATGGTCTTGGGAGGCAATTAGATGTTTCAGGTTTGGTCGTTGATTCAGAACCATTACATCTTGGTTTAATTGTCGTTCCGGGTTCGGGTAACATAGGAAAAAGAATCAAATCATGATTTAATTGTGCCCTCCTGGGGACTTTCGGGTTGTGCCTTTCGTCGGACCGGAGCCTCGCCTGCTTTGTCGAGAGTGAGTGCCAGAAAATTGTGCCCTGTATGGAGCAGGACAGGCGTGGAATAGAGCGTCGCATGACGTTCAAGGGCCAAGTAAATCATAAGTAAATTGTGCGGGCCTGAGGGGTCCAAGGTGGGTCAAAACCGAACAATGAAATCGTGATTCAGTTTTTTTTTAACTTCTGGATTCATTGCTTTCCCTAGGGCTCTAAGGCTTTGTGCGTGGGTCGTAGGGGTTTGAGGCTTTGCGTCCAGGGTTTACAGCTTCGGGCTTTTACTTGTTGGGTGCTAGGCCATGTCACGCCACGCCATCCCGGACTTGGGGTCTAATATGCCGTTCTGGTACAGGCCCAGTTGTAGCCAACCCTATCTTTAGGCTGTACAATTCTGGTCGAAAATCTACCTACCCTGCTGAACCTGTCTGACTTGAGGGCAGTTTGCGCTGAGTGCTCGTGGATACCAGGAGCTCCTGCGGCTCATCGATGAGCACTCGCTTTCATGTGAGGATGTCTCTGCCCTGCACTATACAATGCTATAAACACTTTTTTTGGGGTTCCCCGATTTTGCGCATAGGAGTATGCCGAAATCCTTCCGCAAGCCTGGAGCAGGACCTTTCGGATTTGTAGTCTTCACGGCACTCACGTCTTTAGCTTTTGGAAGCACGGTGCCAGGGTCAACAAGCTGACGGAAGCTCTTCGAACAGATCTTCGAGGGTCAGGCGCTTTGATTTCTGTTCGGGTCTGTTCTATAGGTTTGAGGTGTAGAGCATGTCTGGGCACACCGGGCAAAGTTGAATAGATCATCGCTACAGCGAGCCTGAAGAGGCTCGGAAAGGCAGGGGATTTGATGACGCAGAGCGGCCAGAGGGTGCACGCGCGCGATCGCTCGTTTGGGGGGGGGGGCCAAGGCCGCAGCCCAACCGGGCATGACAAAGCCGATGCTCACACTTCACTCACTTCACCTCCACGCCAAAGAGGCCAAAGAATCTGGCAGCTGTAATTTAGTGACCCGAATTTACATTCCCTTTGCAGAAGCGCCCAGGCCTCAGGTCAGAGCGGACAATGAAGTTTAGGTCTTCTGACATCCTCTGACATTCGGTGATTACATCAAAACCATGACGGATCATCGGCATGGTCGTCGTTCCTCCGTTGGGAACTCCAGAAACCTAGCCGGCGCCCATGCAACAAGCTAAACCGCGTAGTCTAATCTGGTTTGACCCCCACATCGAAGCCCAGCGAAGATGTTTCAACACCATCTGCCTAGTTCGAAGAGTTGAAGCCAGCAACCGCCAAACCTCACCGGAGTGTTACTGTATGTGGGAGCGCCTGCCGTGCAGGACTTGCGAGGCCTCGGGAGTAAGGCGCATCAGACACGAACAAAATCGTGCTCGCGCAGGCTTCAAAGAATTGCCAGCGGATGCTGCCACGCAGTCCGATCGACAGCTCATTCTTTTGCTTTGAGGTGCCGTGCCCAGATGACAATGTGTGGACGTGATACCGAGGTCTGGCATTTTCAGGCTCGCAATCTCGTGCCGGTGGTGTCTCCTCATCACCGAAGCTACAGAATGTTTACCGTCATTGCAGAGTGGCAGCATGTGAGAGAGCATGAAGAGGGTAGGGCAGCTTGACCCTGCAGTGAATTCCTCTCCTCGCTGGGTGTGGCGACGGACTTGGTGCAGACACAAACACAGGCACGCGGGAAATCGTGAAAGAAAAGGACGGAAAGCCATGCGAACCCACTCACAGTGCTTGCCAGACGACGGCGCTTCCTTCCGTCACGCCGCTTGAGCCTTCAGAACAAGCTGTTGAACTTGGTTTGGTGCCAGAGCCTCATGCCGCAGCATGAGCCATGCCGTCCTTTCTTGCGCTGCCCCGGGCCCGGGTCTTTTCGGGTGTGAATTCCTGCGGGTCGGAGGAGTTACGGATCAGGAAGCCTTGGCTTGCTAAGGGGCAGAAAGTCCTTGTTCCCAGAGTGCCAAGGCTGGACCACCTCGAACAAGGGCCAGCGAAAGCATTGCAGGCCCTGCCGGACATGAGGCTGTCATAGGCTATCATGTGGACTGCAGATGAGCCATGATCCCCACCAGCACCCGCGGACCCACAATTCATCGGCGACCATCACGGTTCTGTCGAAGCATCCCCAACCAGTCGATTAGGTATGTTTCCGTGACGGACACTGCAGAGCATTTCAAAGCGCCAGATTCTTGCAAGGCCGGCCGTCGGCTGGAGAGCGAGCTGAAGGACGGCAGAATTTCACGTGCCGCATGGACACGAAGTTCGGTTGTCTCTTGCACAGCGACATAATATCCACTGGCGAGGAATCTGAGGCCGAGGAATCGTCTAGTAGCTGTCAACTTTAAATATTCCCACGACAGGATATGACATTATTACCTAAAACAAAATGCAGACACTTCTCATGATCAAGGTATCACGTAAGCTAGTCTCATGTGGTCCGGCAACTTCCGGCAACCGAGTAGCGGCAAGCGGCTGTAACTGTTATGCACGCAGTGTGCGTGCAGCCCCAATCACCAACGGCCGGTGCGACATGCGGGCGACCCCGCATGGCACCACTGAGGTGATAGCGAAGTCAGAAACCTAAGCAGCTTGAGGCGGTGGAAGTCGTGCTGTTGCACTTGGCTGTGTTTTCTTCGAATAGTGGCACTGTCATGGAACTGCGATGTGACGACAAGGGCACCTCAGATCCACATTGACACATCGTACGTAGCAACCAGAACTGTTGCATGCTTATCACTGACTCACTTATCGCACATGGTTTTCCCTTTTGAAAAATCCGTTAAGGATGCAGCTTCGCATGCTCTTGGTGGAGGGAGAGGGCTATGCCACGACCATCTTGCGATGGGGAGCCAAAAAGTCAGATCAAGTCAGATCAAGGCCGATATACACTTAGGACAGACTGCAAACCTGCCAATCTGAAACCGGAATCCGCACGACTGTGCGACTCGTGGCATTTTTGCACCTGCCTGCTGCATACGCAGTGGAACTCCACCTAGGAGTCTTGAATCAGATGGCATTGCATCTTCGCCACAACGGAGGTTTCTTCTGGGAGGCAGGTGGCCATTGTCAAGGAACAACTGGCAACTGTGTGACTTGGATGTGTGCCTGTGAGACGAAATAGCTCGCAGGGATTGGTGAGGCTGCATGGGGCAAACTTACGTATTTTTTTGCATCCCCGGCCCTCTCTGCGGCAAACTTTTGTTGCCCACCATGTCCGCACATGTTACTGAGACCAGGAAATGGTTAAGCTGTTGCAAAAGCTGCGAGTAAAGGGCTCAGATGCTATCGGTGCGGGCACCAGGGCTTCAATGTCCTCAGCGCGACTATGCGCGACTCGAGGTTTCGTGGCCAGAGCTGAGGGCTTCTGTGGAGGGGGCTTTCGAATCTGGATCGCACATCAGGCCGGAACTTCCGCTATCTTCAAAAAACCAGCTCTGGCAGATCCTGCATCAGGACGAAAGATCTTGCACAGGCCCTGAAGCAGGCGAAGACTGTGCGCTTTTACCGAAGTCGTTTCTGGTTCTGTGTCAATGGCTTTGCAAGCACAAGCAGCATGCCTTGAGCAGGTTCTGCAGTTTCGGAGGCAACTCAGTGCTGCTGTCCCGAGTATCGAAGCTTTGTCTTCGCCTGAGAGCTTAATCTCATGTCCCTCTGCAACACCCGATGACGGCCTTCATATTGTCGATGCATTGGCACAGTATACCTTGTTATTTCATCAGCACCGACTTCGAAGGTGTGATTCCTTGGAAGACGCAACGGAACAGGTCCATCAGCGGGAAGAGGACTGCGCGGGTTCGGAATCGAAACCCAGAGGGCAGGGACGGAAGCACGTGAGGTCGACCCGCTCTAGGAGCATGTTAAAAACAACTTATGCAACCTGCCCCGACCACGTCCAACCTTCGGTCCTGATTCAAGAACTCGTGTTGCAACCGCACGTTTTGCCCGCTGACGCCTAGTCCTCCAGACTACTCGTGGACTGCAGTGCGGGTTTCTCTATGGAAGATGAGCGTTCAGCAGCTACACTCTTGACAGCATGCAATCAAAAGGCCCAGGGCCCATGGTCATCTTGGAATTTGAAGGCGAGCTGCATAGTTCCGTCATTTGCCCAAGATTTGGATGTAAGGAGCGCCTGCGGTTCAAAGCCATGACAAGGGACGTGCTCGATGGCCAGAACAAGGCCAAAGCTAATGAGATCAAGTGCTCCTTGTTTCCCAGAGGCTCCCGCTCCCAACACACGCGACCCCAGCACGTCCCACTTGCCGAGCCACCGGACTGGGAACACGCAGCACGCGGCTCGATGTAGTAGCACAGACTTACATACCATCTTCATGCAGTTCACTTCAACGCCGATGCTTTGTGTTTGCTGTTCTGCGGTCTCAGCAGGGTACCATGCTTGTCTCAAGCCACATGCACAACTACAAGAGCCCACAACTCAATTGTGCATAAGTCAATGCTCTGCAAAGTGGTGTCATATCTAGCCGAATCTAGCTTGTGGCCTGCTTCGTGCACATGCCATCCATGCTGAGGCAGTTGCAGTGCTGTATGGGCGAGAGTGGTGGGGAGCCCTGCCGTGTGTCCGAAAACTGCACACCGAACGAAGTGCTGTTGCAGGCAATCTGCCCAACATCCATAAGGAAGCAGAAGGCTTTGTCGTTTTTTCAGGTTGCAGATGGGTCGCATGCAGACGGTGCAGGCCGTGGAGATACATCGTTTGCGGCTGCCGGTTCCAAAAACAAAGGCTCTGCCGGTTCCAAAAACAAAGGCTCTGGCGGTTCCGAGAAGAAAGACATGCGCCAAACTCCGCGGCTGGAGAAAAACGTGCAAATTCGATTGCAGTTTCAATCTCCGGAAATCTATAACACAGATATTGCCGCTGAACAAAAATACCAGGGGAGGATCCATGGATGCAAGTTCCCAGATGCAGATGGAATAGGCGAGGCTACGATGCTGCATCCTGAGATCGCGTTCAATGCTTTGCCACCAATTTTTGGAGGAAAAAGTGGAGTACATGTCCACCTGGAGGATTTGACAGATCATAAAGTCTTTTGGGATGCTGACTTCAAATTGCCAATGTTTGATCCAATCCTGAACATCGTTGGCAAGACGCGCATCAAAAAGACCACGGCACCCATGAACATGGCAGACCAGTTCCACAAGCCTTGCGTTCCTAAGGACGACATGAGGCCACATTTTTTTGATTTGAGCATTCGGACGCTGGGCAAGTACTGGGACGATATCGTGGAGGAGTGGCGGCCCGACAAAGGTTTCAAGGCCAACGGCCCGGAGGCCCACATTGGGTTTCTTGTGCAACGCATGCCCGAGCTGTCGGCCGACGGGAAGGAGGAGGTGCTTGGCCTGTGGAAGAGAAAAGGGTCTCCAATCGCAGCAGAAGGTGATGTAATTCAGGATCCTTTCGAGCGAGCACTTGCTGGGCATGAGGATCCTTTCTACGATAAGTCGAAATCGAAGACTTATCGCGGCTATTACGATCACATCATCAACAGGTGGGGACGCTTCAAAGATCGACTTGGATACCTTGCCAAATTCGGACCTCAGTTGCTCCTTGGACTGCCACCGGAATTAGAAGATGCCGATAAAGGCGAGTCGAATCAGGGCTCGCCGAACTTCGCGAGGTGAGGAAAAGGGCTGAACTGTGGCTTTCTTGCACAAAGATAGGCTAGTAGGCAGTGCACAGTGGAGAGGCAAATTGGAGTCTTTCAGGCGCTTGCTGCCCGTGTGTCTGCAGTCCTGTGGCTGAGACGATGTGGTCGTTCCGGCCTGGCCCTGTGCATTATTTTGGCCGTGAAGTGACAAGCTCCACGCTGATTGAAAGCTCAGGTGCCCCAAAGCCAGATCAGTCAAGGCTGCAGTTTGCAAGCCAATGTCGCTAGTTCCCTGGTCGCCATCTTGGCCAGGTTCGACATTGAACAGGCCTCAGAGGCGAGGGTGGGCCGGCTAGAGTCTGGTAAAGCATTGGTGCACTGTGTGGGCCCGCGCAACTATGATTCTCGGGGAAGTGAAAGGCTACAGGAACGCTTTCTTGAGATGCTGCAGGCACTTGAGCGCAATCTGGAGGTGCCTTGCTGAGAGCGCAGGTTGGAACATGAGATCTCCAATCGTGGGGATTTATGCCTTCTGCTTTTGATCAGCCCACTGCCCACTGGGCGGTTGAAACCGCCACAGCATGAACGGCAATCACACAATGATCAGGACTTTGCAGGCAATGGAGTGATTTGGGGTTGTGGCTAGTATATCGCCACAAATTGCCACATTGGGTCACAGAGATGCCACAACGAATCACGAACGGTAAGCACCTGAAGATGCTCAAAATTACTGCAACTTGCAGCTGTGCTTAGTCGTGGTGTGCGTCGGCACCGACATAGGAATCCTTGCCCTTTGCTGGGACCACACCGCTAACATCTGCGAACTTGCACAAGGCTGCAAAGGATATGGAGAGCCGGCTCGTGAAAGGCGCTGGGACAGCACGGGCCCAGGCCCAGCCTACGTTACACCTGCGGCCCCAGGCGTTGTTGTCGGCTCAGGTCATGAAGAGGGAGGCATGCCACCAAGTGGTGCAGCGCACGGTTGCCAGGACCGCTGCGGTACATACTCGTAGCTGGTTCGATTGGAAAGCCGGGACCATTGCGAATCTCCGAAGCCGAAGTCCAAGAGAGAGGAAGTGCAATGCTTTGCTCGTTCATCGTACAGCCGAGGAATGCAGCCGTAGGGACAGGTTCAGTGATCAGCGCAGTTTCATCCCACCGTGATCCACCCTTAACCTGGTGTCGTGTTGCTTGTAAAATCTGCCGACATTTTGCCGACATGCGCAGATTGTCCGTCTTGCGGGGCAAAGTTCTTACCGCTGCAGAGACGGTCTCAGCTGCCAGGCCTGTGCATCGTTGCAAGTGTCCGCTCCGTGAGTCCAGTCGAATCGAGGGCAGACTTAGCCGGAGCTCGGCGAAGCAGCCAGGTGGCTCTGACAGAAGTACGGCCACCCAGAAATTGGCTTCATGTCACCACAGCGAAGGCAATCATAGCCTTGTCGCACGGAGGCGGCCGCAACAGCGCTGGAGCAGCTTATGCTCGCGTTGGATGAGGCAGCAAATGTGTGTTGTTTGGAGTGGACATATGCAGCCGTGTTGTCTTATGCAGGCAACCTCACATGTGGATGCTGGTGGTGGCCAGCGCTCCCGCACCGAAGCGCAGGCAGTCTTTGGAAAAGGGCCCCTTGGGTCATGCTGTTTGCGGCTGAAGCGGCAGAATTGATGGCGGCAGGCTGCCATGACAGCTGGTGGAGAGTCGCCGACGTCACCGACTTCGTCGCTTGTGGACGTGCCCCGAGGGGCTCCGGCCGAAATGTTGCAGGTCTGCTTGGTTGCCGATGCCCCCTCATAGAGTTATGTAGCTCGACACCTGTTTTTGCACAGACATAAATGAAGCGAAGCTCTTTCTTGACACCTCCTTTCTTTGCAGCTCGCCGGCTTGCATGGCATGCTTCAGCTGGATTTTGGCATGCTTGAGCTTGACAGCTTTACAAACCGGCAGGATTTGCAGACTTCTCCGAGCCTGGGCTTGTTGCTGTGACTGGCACCCTTGCCACTTGCTTGAGCAGCTTGCTCTATGTTCCGCGAAGTTCACAAGAGACCAATGTGTTTCACCACGTTTCACCACGTCGTTCATTGCATAATTGGTTGTGGCAAAATTGCTGAGATCCAGAGTTTTTACGTCAACTGGCGAGCCGAATGATCGCGAGTAGAATGTCGCCAAGAAGCAGTCTCTCTGTGGTTAAATGGCGCAGTCATTTGGGTCCTTCATGGGGGACTTCGTGACGGGCCGGCTCGAGGGTGGCCGCCCGAGATCTCGACCATTGGGTGCACGTAAACCGCGCCAGTCATCATACTGATACCGCGCAACAATGCGCAACAGGTTCAGCGTTCCTTTTGTCCGCAAGGCTTCTGCAGGGCACACTTGCATGCACTGCGCCGCACGGCGTGATAGCCAGCAGGATTGTTCCAGGACGGTCTTGCTGCGACTGGTCAACTGGTCGCTATTGTCTGCGTGGATGCAATGGCATGGCAGGGGCGAGTTGCAGGCTGAAGGGTGTGACTCGTTGTTCGTCGGCAGCCGAGGTACTCGCCCCTGAGCATGGCATCACCTGCGGCTGAGCTTGCAAACATCCAGGCCGTTCATCGCAGCTAGGGAAGTTTCAAGGATTTTTCTCAGATGGCCAAAACTTCATGCGGTTGGAGGCAGAGCTGCAGTCCGTGAAGCGGGCCTTGCAAAATGGGGCGTGGCTCTTAGATGCTCCGCCTTGCCTGTGTGTGGGCCAGTGCTGGTTGCCCTGCAACACCAAACCGGCTCCCAACTTAATCACGAAAGCTAGCATAGCGAGGCTTTCGAGCAAAAGCCTCCCCTTCCATCTTCACTGTTGCTGAGTTGTTGATGTGGTTGGATGTGCGAGTTGATGATGATGCCAATTCTATTTCCCCTGCCGCCTCGCCAGCTTTGTTGCCGCTCCGTTGCTGATGGATGCGTTTGGATGTGATAATGCTTGGAGCCCGCCTCGTCAGCTCTGTTTGCCTTCCGGTGCTAATGTAGTTGGATGTGATGATGCCGCCTCGTTTCGCTTGCCGTCACTCCAGCCTAGGCTAGCATTCGTTCCCCTGGCCCCGCCGCTCAAGTTGCGCCACTTTAGACTTTAGACTTTAGGCAGTCTTTCGTGCTTAATTACTGCGCAAGGACGTGATGGTACTTTAATTGCTCAGGTCGTTGCTATGTACGTATCTCGTCTGGTTCATCGCACCACCACCACCACCAC